GGGGGGGGGGGGGGGGGGGGGGGGGGGGGGGGGGGGGGGGTGCGTCCGCACCCTCTGCACCCACCTGCCTACGGGCCTGGCAAGTCGCATGACTGGAAAGCAGTTAATTTTACAAAGAAAGTGTTGAACTTCCTTTTCTTCAATATTGTCTTCTCCACTGTCATCAACTCCTGTATTTTGAAAATGTTCATTGATATAAGAAAGAGTTAAATGTAAACAAATGAAAATAAACCAACAAATAAAAGTACCATTTACTGTATTAGTGATGTGTATTTTTGCCTCTTCACCAAGTGTTGTTTTTGTTTTGAGTATTCCACCTGTGCATTCTGTTGGTGTTGATATTATTTATGATTCTCTCGGAACTATTACAATAATTCAGATGGGATATGTGCTAGATTTTCAGATTTTCTAAAAAAAGAGGGTGTGGCCCAATCTTCAAAATTGGGTAAGGGTGGTATGTTGACATACATACTTAAGTTAAACAAATGAGTATGCTCATGTACAGGTAGTAAGTAAGTAAGTAACTTTATTGCTTCTCTTTTATAACAGAGGCACGTCCATAAAGACGTGCAACAATAACAAAATCAGTAAAAACTTAATTACTGTGATAAAATATAGTAAGAAAATACTGCGGTAGAACGAAATATAAATAAAAAAAGGGTTTATAAAAATAGTAATAGAGATAAAAATAAATACTAATACTAATAATATAAGTAAGTTGGTTAATACATCACTTATACACACATACATATACACAAACATATATATACACATATATATATACACATATACATATATATATATATATACAGTATACATATACATATATATATATATGTATACACACACACACACACATGCTTACATATACATACATGCATAGACGCACACACATACACACACCCCTCCCACACACATATTCACACATACATACATACATATACACATACATAGTAACATTTGCGAATGATATGATTGTTGTCGTTACGATCACTGGTGGAGTGTCATAGGAGTAAATTTTGCCCGTCAAACAGGCCACACTTATTGGCCAGAAATATTAATTTGCCAGTGAATGTTTTGGTGATGCCAGCTAAGATTAACTTGGATCGTTTGTTCAATGATTTGTTTAGATCCACTGCGATTATGCAATATTTTTTGGAGTAACAGAAATCAGAATGGTTGTAATATACTGGTATTGTTTTTGTTGTTGTTACTGTTGTTATTGTTATTGTAGTATTTCATCTTTATTAAGTTTTAAAATAAAAGGATTTCTTTATTGATTGACTGACTGACATGCTGTCACCTGTGAAGGGTTTTATTTATTACAAAAATAATATTCAAGGATGAAAACACAATAAAGTACCGAAAAGGCAAACTTAATATTTCGCGTGTCATTTAAGAGTATTAAATATTATTATCAAATATAACTATATTCACCCAATCCCTCTCAATGTAAATCTTTATCACTCGTACATTATTGTTATTATTGATGAAGTTACAGTGAAATAACTAAATATACTGTAGTTATACTTTTTCGAGATGATATATACAATACACTGAAATAATAGTACTGTACGTCTTCAGCATTTAAAATAAAAACCATGCTTTAATAATAATATCTGTGTAATTATTACATGCCAAATCCAGTTCAAAGTACAAAATAGCAATAATGAATACAGTGAGTTCATCTGCGTAACATATAGTACAAATAATGGAACACCACAACTGTGATATGAAGGGGGGGGGGATATATACATTAGAAAAGAGTAGGGGTTATCCTGGTGTACTGGTCGCAAGTTATTTCCGAACTTTACCTTATAAAAAATATTAAACTCTTCTTCACAATTTTATTAGTCCCCCAGCCACGAAACATGCAAGAATATAAATTATAAAAAAGAGAATATCACATATATTGTTTAAAAAAATATAATAGATATAATATTGGCAAGCTTCAAAGAGCAGGAACAATGATTTGTGTGTCATCAGTCTAAATACTGTACTTGGCTTTTTAATGGAAATGCATACACCGAATCCTTAAAACAACATAGAACATATATTTTTTTTTATCAGCTGCTGTATGTAAACTGATCTGCACACATCATTTGTCTTTTCACTCTCTCCTCACTAGACAATCGATTCTGCTTTTATCTCTCTGCAAATGTTTATAATATCAACCCAAAAAAACTAGATAAAATATTACCATGGTATATTTAGCATACACTGAATATATACACTCATTAAAAATACAAATACCAATCAATTTTTTTTCATTATTATTATTAACAGTGGCGGATTCAGGAATTTCGGAACATCCCAATTTCGTTCCGCATTCACAATTTTTATACGCTACACCAAAAAACGGTGGCATACTCAAAGTAATGTTAACTGTATTTCAATAAAACACTTTATAATCAGATATAATCCTCTATAAAATTATTTTACCAGTATACTAGGCTATCCAAAGGAATTTGGCAATTACAACACTAAACACATGTTTAAAACACTTTCATAGAATAATAGCACAATATTAGAATTCGGTATATTTATATAATTTTTTCTTCTAAATAACACTAAACCAGCATACTGAGTATATCATAAGAACAGAATTTGAGACAATTTTGAATATAAGGCCTAAAAAAAAAAAATTGTTTGTTTGCCCTTTAATGCTGAAAATTGTATAGGAGGGAAGGGCACAAAAAAAGTTTTTTTTTTTAGTTTTTTTTTTTCTCCCGTCACCAAAATTCACATTTTAAATTGCAATGCTTTCAATTAAGCCTGTCTCGCTATTTGTTTTTCAAAGGATATACATCAGACTGAATAAAAATAACTGATAATCGATATTTTGCAATGAATTTAGGTCTAGAATGGTGATCACTTTTTAAAATTTGTGAACAAAAAATCGAAAGAAAAAAAAACTTTTTTTAAAAACACTGCCCCTACTTTTCCGTGAGCTAAGGGCAGGCGCTGCAGGGCAAACAAACTATTTTTTTAGGCCTAATAAGGATGATGAAAATTAAATCGTCATCGTGCTTTACAAAAATGGGACATTTACACAGTTGGGTTTGAGACGCTGCCAGCATCTTGTCCAGCTACCAATGTCATTGCATCTCCAGTGTCATCAGGTTCTCCAGTAGCTTGTATCTGTTGCTCAGGGTTCGGAATCTGAGCTTGGGTCACCGTTTGAAGTGGCTGACTTTGTCCAGGAATCATGAATGTCTGATTGGTTGGCTGTCCCCGTTCTTGAACCATACCTACTTGCCCCACACCTTGCACAAACATTGGCTGTTGAAACACTGGTTGCCTCTGACCTTGATGTATCATCATTGGTTGCCCCTGAGCCTGGACGATCATTGGTTGCCCCTGACTTTGATGTACCATCATTGGTTGCCCCTGAGCTGGAAGCATCATTGGTTGTCCCTGTCCACCTACCATCATCAGTTGGCCAGAACTCTGGACCAACATTGGCTGCCCCTGTGCCTGGACGGCTGGTTGTTGTGCACCATGTACTTGTTGTTCTTCAGGTCCCGAGGTTTGAGCTCCTACTTGTTGGTTCTGAGCAGCAATAAGTTGGTTGGGAAGCATCATAGGTTGGTGCTGCACCATCATCGGCTGGTTTTGTACCATCATCGGCATACCATGTGCTGCTCTTGGTACAGGTAACATCATCACACTACCATTGGGGCCCATAACCATCTGGTATTGTTCATTATTCTTAAAAAAAAAAGCAAACTTAAATTAAATATTCTGTAAATATACTTGCTGTTTATTTTAAGTGAGCCACTAATAACCACTCCTACCATTTTCTCAAGGTACGTTCTGACAAGTGAGTGTTAAGCTTTGAAGTGGCAGTTTACTTGTTGTAAGCCCTGGGTAGTGCCCGTGAAGACACTCTTCAACATTGCTACAGACTATTTACTCCTGAGTAGTCTCAGCAGTAAGCAGTCTCAGCAGTAAGTGTGTTAGCCTGGGTTCCAGGCCCTAATTTTGGGTTATTTCACTCTTTATTGCACTTAGTGCGCGCCATACCTAATTTAATTGGTGACCCATACTCGATTTCATTTTTTTTTCAGATTAGGGCCTGGGCAAACGATTCATGCGTACGATTTCCACATCAAATTTGATGTGGGATATCGTATGCGTGACTGATTTTGTAAATCACGTAATTAAAACAGTTAGTATATAGTCCTGGCGCTGCAAACGACTATGGACTGATAACCGCTAGTAGGCTGTACTTACAGAACCTTGCTCACCGCTAGCTGCTACACAGATTTAGGCCTTTAGGGTAGAATATTGTTAAAAAGGTAGGCCTCTGTAATGTAATTAAGAACTTAAAAATAGGTCGAGCATCTACTAGGCTAGCCTACTACTTCTGACTCCAGAGGTCTGAGCCATCCTCCTGGGAAGTTATTTGTAATGGTATGCCATCTAGTCTAAGCTTAATTTTTTTTTGCCATTGCCAAAATTAGTCTTACTAGGGTCTATTCTAAATATTTTAGGCCCGTTTTATTAGGGAGGACTATTTTTAGTCATGCCTAACTAGTCGACGCGAGTGACTCAGTTTCGTGGCTCTAAAAATATGAACATTTGATTGGTTAAAATTCTTTATTTCGGTCCGCCCATTTATCCAAATACGGAATATAAGATTACGTCATTCTTTTGGCATCCTGGTGCCTGCATTCAGTGTTTTACAAGTCTCTTATTCCGTCTCTAAATTAACTTTCTCATTGGTGGCGCTGTCCTGAATGAGAAAAATAATAAAAAATAAGAGACTAGTGGCAAGTCTATAAGTGTGTGTGCTACGTCCGTGTACACAAGGAATGTAAGGTATACGCGCTTAGAGTAGCGATGTGTACATGCACTTACTTCAAATTTATTTTGACCTCAATTTTTTTCAAAAAATAAATACCTACAAATGAATGCCAAAATAACATTTCCGGTGATGTACACACAATATTTTCATAATTGTTTACTTATGAAGAATTTGTGTGCAAAATAACTGTTGAGAGACAACGAAAGTGTTGATTATCACTTCCTGAAAATGTGCATAGTTACTTCTAAGCTTTGAACTAGCTTTGAATAAAAAGAACATATGCCCTGGGTAAGCATCGTGTGGACACTCATCAGAAATAACATGCGCATAAAATTTTACGGTTGTTGTAAACTTTACTTTAGGCGTAAGGCTGTCTCAACATAACTTCAGTCACAGTTACCATAATGAAATCATCCCATCTACTGTAAGTTCAGTCTGCACATTGATAAGGATCTGCTTGTGGTTCGTCTTGTTTAAATTTATCGTCATCATCATCATCTTTTTTAAGTTTAATATGAACATACCTTGTTAAAATTATTATAATTTTTGTATTACTGTATAAGATACATAAAAACAAAGAGACAAACCTTAGTTTGACAACAGTTGCAGTTTGAGCCCTGACAACAAAAGTAACAACTCAGTTGACAAAAAGAAAGGCCAAAGGTCACCATGCAGATTAGTGCTTCGAAAACACCAAATCCCACAATGAATGAGTCCAGCAAAACCTGTTTTGTAGTATAGTATTTAAAAAATAGTAATAATTCATTTTAGTTTAACTCTTAGATATTCAAGCAAATAATCCCACAATGAATCCAGCAAAACCTGTTTTGTAGTACAGTATTTAAAAAATAGTAATAATTCATTTAGGTTAACTCTTAGATTCAAGCAACTAATATTTAACTCACTGACTGGAGCTAAGTGTTTCCCAATGTCCAAATCTTTCCATTTCTTTTTAATCTAAATCTTAAATGAAGTACATTCTAAAGTTGAAGAAGATACTTCGCAAATTGGGGTATGATGTCATAGGCATTTTCAGAAATTATTCCCTTTTATTGGTTGTTGAGTTTCGGTCCTTCAACTGCGAGGTTGGAGGTTCGAACCTTCGCTGTGCATTTCGCTTGTATTCTTGGAAAAAGTACTTATACCTATATTTGTCTCTCTCCACCCACGAGTGTAAATGGGTATCTGGTTGTAGTTATATACGTATGTTAAAAAAGATGGTGGAAAGGATCAACTGGCCACTCAACCACTCCCTTTACCCTCATTTTCTTTTATGGTATTTAGAATATATATTTTCCTCTTATTGGCCTTTTTGGAGGCTCCTGAATATCACATGGAAAAACAAAATTAGAAATACAGGAGTACTAAGAAGAATGAATACAAAAAGGACTAATCAAAATAAGGCCAAGTAAAAAAAAAAACATGTTTCACGTCCGGCTTTTTTTTTTAATTGAGGAAGCGGCCTTTTTTATTTTTTATTTTTTATTTTTCAAAATGGCCGCCATTCTACAGACTTGTTGACATTTCCTGTCTAGTTTTGTTCAACATATAAAATTTAGGAATCATTGTTACTGTATACAATCGGAATGTTCCGATGTTACGTCTCAGACGTCTTCACATGAAACTATTCCATACAACTGACATAGAGGGCCAGTATAACGGGAAATTCCAGAATTCATCGGAAATCATCGGCCATATTCGATTGTGACTTTCGTGCTCTGCTCAACGGAAACTGCTCAACGAAGTTAACGCTCGGAATTTATCGTTGAGTTTTGTACTCAACGGGATAACATACTCAACGTATAGTCCTAATCGAATACGGCAATTGTATGCATGACAAACGCGCTCTAGTGAAGTGAACTCGAGGTTTGCCGCCTGACGCCCAGAGTAGGCGACGGCCTAGGCCTAGCCTAGAGATATCAGGCTAGCCTAGGCCTAGCCTAGGTAGAGATATTGGGCTAGCCTAGGCATAGCTTTACTATACGAAAGGTTAGACGAAGATATTGCACTATTTTAGGCTAGGGTATTTATTTTCCAACATTTAATTCTAAATTTTCGATATATTTTTTCTTTATTTTCATGAATTTTCCAAAAATAAAAAATCAAAAAAAAATCAAGGCGGGCGAAAAAAAACGATGCGGGCGGGGACGCGAAACATGTTTTTTTTTTACTTGGCCTAATAAAAAGAAGAATGACTAGAATACCTGGACCATCTGGTCAGAAAAGAGGCACTGCAAAGAACACTATTGGAAGGGAAGATGGAAGGAAGTAGGGGCAGAGTTAGACCAAGGACTATGTGGATGGATAACATCAAGGAATGTGTGGGATGAGGTATTGGCAATATGTAAGGGCAGCACAGTGTAGAGGGGAATGGAAATACATGGTAGCCAACCTGCTTTGAGCAGAGGACACCAACAGGTAACAGGTAGTGGCTTAGGCCTCTATATAAGATTGTGTAGTGTATGTGAGAATGAGTTAGGGTCAGGAAGGTGATCTCGAGTAGCTACAGCCTGGTTATTATAAAGGTCTAGTTTAGATAATATGTGGGTCATATGTCCTTATCCCATGATACATAGCTACTACTGTAGCATAATTTTGTCGTTCGTTTCAGTGCTTTATTTCTGCATACAGGCCCGAGATACAGTGGCATATCTAGGGGATGGGGGCACACTTCCACCAAAAAGCTTGCACTTCCACAGTTGACCCCTACCCCCCATTGAAACTTTTCAAAGTACCTTATTTTGGAAGCTAGTGACCCATCCCTTCATCATCGCAACCCCCACTTCACCTTCACACCCACCCCTCCCCCCTATTTCCAGACTCCTAGATACACATCTGAAGCAATAAAATTAATAAATTTAATTTAACTGATTGATCCATACCCTTATGTTTCTGTCCTTGTGACTAGACATGTCACCCATTTTGCAACATCCAGGCAAACAGTCCCAGCAATAGGAAGGTGTTGTTGTGATGTTGTAGCAATTCCAATCGACACAGCCATACATGTGCTGGTTGTATTTGTCTTCGCTTATATTAGCAGAAGCCCATATGAACATATTATTAGACATTATAAAAGCTAGGATGGAAAGTGAAAAGAAACAGGGAATCTGGAAAAGAAGTGAAAGAACATGAAATTAATGGAATATATATGTGAAATTATATGAATTATATATTATTATATAGTCATTTATTTCTATTATATCATGATTTATAAAAAAGTATCTCTTCGGAGATTCTGTCTTGTCGTCAAATGCTTACAAGTAGAGGGCGTACTATATTGATCTCTGTTATTTGCCATGCATTAAGAACTAGTGCTGTCCAACTAATTAATCTTAACTCGTTAGAATACAGAATATTTCTTAGTCTCAGTTTCATGTATAAAATAATTAATGAAAAAATCCAAATCTCCCATAGTTATATTTCATTTAATACCCGTAAACTGCACCCAATGCTCTATCTTCCTCATGCCAGATGCAATGCACTTCACAACTCTTTTTTTCACTGTACTCCAATCACCTGAAAGAGTCTCCCTATTTCAATACGTCTGTGTCCTACAATCCAGTCTTTTACAACATCATTAATATAACACCTTCATGACAAGTCCCGCCCTACAAATCATGTTTTAATAACTAACTGAATTCACTTCAATGCAATATTTTGATCTTCATTCATTATTATTGTCATTATTATTACTTTTTTTTAATTATTTATTTATTATTATTATCTGTATTATTATTATTATTATTATTATTATTATAGAGTGCAAGGAATTAGATTTAGATTTGAATTTCCAAAAAGCTTTAATGATCCAGTTGATGCCCACCCGTCCCCTCCCCCCACCCCACTTGTGAGCTCTCTCTCTGCAGGAATTGAACCTTCAACCTGTCTATGTCACGGCAAGTGTCAGACCACTATACCAACAATGTTTATTATGAAGTACCATTTAAAGAATGCATTAAATTATACCAGAGGAAAAAGAAAAAAAAGAAGAGAAAATAAAAGGAAAAAAAAAGAAAAAAACCAAAACAAATTGATGATATTCAAATTTTGATTCACTTACATACGGCCCCTTCTTTGTGACACTCAACAACCCATAAATACCAGTCACTACAAATATCTGTGGAAAAATGGAACAATTTATATACTTATAATAATAATTATTGTACTTATTATCATCCAAAAAATAAAATACTTTACTGTAACTGTTAATCTCAGGATTATGATGGTTACAGTACTAATAAACACATTCTGCGAAGTTTGTTTACAGCCAGTCAGGGACATAAAGTAGGTATTACCAAAGAGTATAAAACTGCAAGAGGTCCGACTACCGGGGATTCATTGGAATGCAAAAAGTACTTCCACGAAGGGGCGTGGTCTTTAAGATTCGAGCAACACGTATGCGTTTCTAAATTAAGTGTAGGGCGCCCCCTATTTCTTGGCAGTACTTTCAGCCTTCCATTGCCTGCATACCTTGCTGCATACAAAATCAGGGCAATCAGTGTTAGAGTATAGGAAAAGGTAATGTTATGGTTCCAAAAACAACGGCCCACCATTAACATCAGAAACAACTGGCAAGGAAAGCACTTTACATTTGATCAAAATAGTGTTTATTTACTTTTTCTAGCATTCTCTGTGCTTAGTATTCTTTGGAATTTATGTGGTCCTTCTTAAACCTTCCTTGAAATCGTATTGTGTCAAAAACGCAGTTTGCAGATCAAAGCCCTTGTGCATCCCTAACCCGGACGTAGATATGCAGAAGCCTATGGCCTATAGCATTTCTCGAAAAATCTCAATGTTTGGGGTTAGTATCTTTTGGAGCATAGCAAACCATTATGGCAATTAACTCTCAATTTCAATTTTCCCATCAATTTGGTATAGTTAACTGGCATTCCAACCAACATTATTCAACATCAAAATGGGGTTTACAGCAAAAACTCTAAGAAGAAGCCGCAAGTTTTCCTATTACCAAGTGTCAGTCATGCTGCTGATACCCACCATACGTCACATGACCAACCTACTGTAGGCCCGGGCCTAGGCTAGCCTATGTGATGTTCATTGTAATACTACAAAACAAAATCACATCAATTTAAAATCAAATTTGTGAACATACTTGCCTTATATCTTAACTAGCAGGTGATTTTATTGGTAGATTAATTTGTTTTGAAGTGTGTAAGTATGATTGATTTGCATGCCAAGTGAAATTAGTACCCTTGTTTTGCTTTGTTTTACCGTACCGTAATTCTTGGCTAGGCTTAGCTGTACGCCTAGTGTGGCTAAGGAAAGTTTTGTTTTTCTGAGCATGTGCAGATTGTGCTTATCTGGCTCATTAGCATAACAATACCACACACAAGGCTAATTCCAGAATAGACGGCTTAAACCAGCAGCTTCCTATCCTGGTAACAGTTATAAGTCCTTGCTCACAAATTCCCGTAGTTCAGTAGGACTATAACAGGTCCTACGTCATTGTAAATAAACATTTATAAAGAAATGCTTGTGTCTTCATTGTGTTATTCATTTTAACACTGTACACATTGTATTTAAAACCCTGTTTCATGAGAAAGTATAATACATCATCATTCCTGATGATGACATAATTAATGTCGAAATATTGAATCCCAACACAATGGCGTGTATTTCAATACTTGGAGTATGTATTATACTTTCTTATCTGAGATTAATCAGTGGACCTTTCGGTTGCTGTTTCATTAGTGTTATATTACACACAGGGTAATATATTGTATACTCTTGATTAGCACCGCAGCGCTTATTTGAGAATGGCATGTAGCTAAAAAAAATCAGGTTTGGTGCGCCATATTTGAGATCGGCACTTATTCAAGAGTGACTCTTATTCACACATTTACAATATACTATTAAGATTAATGGTCTTACCAATAGTCCGGACCAGATAGGCATTCCAATGTATGATAATTCACATTTGTAAAACACCGCCAAGATACCAAGGGCAATACAGATGACACCAATAATAATATGAAAAACACTTAGGATGATGGTGAGATTGCGGTGACCTTTGCTCTCACAAGGTTTCCAGCATCGCTTCATGGCTGGTGATTGGCCACTCACTGGTGAGGTTTCATCTAGAATATAAAAGCAATTTTTAATACCCTTTTCACACTAACAGGAAATGTTCCAACTTTTAAAAATTAGTAACAAGCTTTAACAACCATGTTTTCCTAGAATTATTATTTACTTAACACATGCAATAGTCCACGGCAAGTGAAATTTTTTAATGAACTGAAACTTTTGGAATTAACACTGGCATTGAGTGGATTTGGATTTGCCGGCTGACGCATTGAAATCTCGGCTTTAATAAAGTAACAAAAATTTAACGATGACTTATTCAGTTCTGTATATAATATTTGCCAAGCTGCCTACTCTAGACCTAGTTAAGTACGAAGGCATGCGCACTGAATTACATGACACACCTTGATGAGTAAAAAGTATAACCACGTTAATTTGATACAGTATAGAACAATATAAAGTAAATGACAGCAGCACTTTTGAGATTAACAATATAGAATTTATTCTCTAGCTTTAAACTTAAGTATGACAAACAAATAGTTGTCAAACAAGAAAGCTAAGCGTATACAACGCCAAGACCTACTGCAATACAATGAAAAGACATCCTCTAATCGCACACCGTTAATAACTACGTATCACCCATCACTCAACAAACCCCTCAAACGCATTATAGATGATCTACAACCCGTCCTACATGAAGAAGCCCTCAATGATATTTTTAAAGACAAACCTTTCATTGCCTTTAAACAGCTCCCTAGCCTTAGTTAAAAGTAAACTTCCCACTAACAGCAACAATGGCACATTCCCTTGCAATACTAGGACTTGCAAACCTTGTACACATATCAAATCCAGAGTAACATTGTCAAAGGACCTAATAATACCAATTTCAACATAAAAGGCGCTTATAACTGCATGTCATCCAACCTAATATATGCTATATCATGCAATATTTGCACTAATGCTCCCTACATTGGACAAACTAGACAAACACTTTAATGGACTAATGGTCATAAACATGACATCAAACACAAACTCACCCAAAAACCTGTAGTTTTTGGGTGAGTATATATATATATATATATATATATATT